TGTTTCAGTCCATGGTTGGTTGTCTCCAAGGCAAAAACATCTTTGTGAAAGGGAATGACACATGAAAGCTGTTTGACCCACGGCATCCAGGAAATATAATAAAGGCAACTCTGTTTAACTCAAACCTTATATATTAAACACACACACACACACACACACACACACACAGAGGTACACAAGTACAGGAAAGTAGTGGAACAGCAATTCATCAATTGAATCACAATTCTCAGTTTTTTCTCTTAAAATAAGAAGAGATGAATGAGCTAATTGCTCGTTTCCTTTATCTTTTGCATGTTGTCCATCTGAACCTTTGAAAACAAAGAGAAATGAAAATAATAGGAGTGTACTAATCAGTCTTTTGTTGCTGAGACACAATACATAACACTCATAATTTAAAGAGAGGCTGGTGGTTTATTTGGCTTGTGGTTTCAAGGAATTCCATCCCTGGGCAGCTGCTCTAAAGTGAGAACATCATGGTGGAGGGCTTGGCAAAGGAAAGCTATTATGTCCTGGTGTCTGAAAAGCAAAGTAGGGGAGCAAGAGCAAGAGAGGAAGGGGCCAAGGACCATACATCATACCCAAAGTCGCGCCTCTGTGACCCACCCCAGACACATCCAGAGGTGTCATTTGTTAATCCCTTAGGCGGCTCCCAAGCAGGTCAGGCGGACACAATGTGGCTTAACCACAAAGAGGGCATAACTTGATTTGTTATTGCTGCATATTAAGTTGTAAAGAAGGGGAATAATGATAAAGGAGAAATCCTATTGAATATCTAGAAGGCATATGTTTCCCAAGCTGCTTTACATTTCAGATGTGTGAGGATTTAAGCAAGTTTCTCAAAAATCTAGAGTAGACAGCTGGATGTAAGTCGGGATGTTTTATTTGAACTTTATGATTGAGCTTTGATGACCAGAAATGGAAATAAGGACTTGTCATTCTCCAATGTCAATATTCTAAAATTGTTACAACCATGATGCCCTCTTTTACTTTGATTTTTCTGTTGCCTTGTTTATTTAGTCCCCAAGGGCTTGAGAAAGAGCCTATAGCTGACTCTGCCAAAGGTAGTAATAAACATGTTTCCAAATATTAGAATACAATCATTACTGACAGTGCAGCAGTATTTTCATTTTCCTAAGAAAAGCCAGTGTACAGCATGAGCCATTAGAAGAAGTAAATGACCAGGTGAGAGATACTGAATTCTTCAGCTTGCTTCATACAGAGAAGATTCCCTTGGCCTGTTAGATCAAATCCCCACTCAGCCACTACCAGCTGAGTGATTATTCAAACAGCCACTGAAATTCTCCAGACTTCAGGTTCTTTGTGTGGACAGGGAGATTAAGAATGCTTTCCTTATAGGGCTATTTTAAGTATCAGGAAGATCAGATATTTAAAGAAGTCCCCTCAGTGCCTGTCACTTAGTGGCTACCCCATCATGTCCCCTCCCTCTGTTCCTTCCCTATTTTTCTTTTCTTAAAATTCAGCAGCTAAGGGAAACTGTTGTGATAATAGTTCACGCAAGCAGACTATAGATCCAGTGAAAGCAGGGTACTTGAGTCATATTGATTTACTGCCTTCCTTCCAAAAAGTAACAGTGATGGATTATGACACATCTATGTGTAAATGAAATTATGGTTTTACAAAGGACTTGAACGTTTTCTCTCCTGATCCTTGAAACAGATCTGTAATGTGCAAGTTAGGAAACTCATTTGATGAATGTGGAATTGAGGCTCAGGAAGTTTAAAGGTCTTGCCCCCAAAACAAGCTATAAGAACTAGAAATTGATTTTTAAGACTTCTGACCCAACTGTTCACTACACCCTGACAGCTTCCTTTTCTGGTCCTCCAATCTCTTCCTGAGATCAAACCCTGAGCATCTAGGAAGGAATGTTAACAAACACTTGTTTATGTGGTATGGAATCTGCAGGTGCCAACAGGCATGTTATCTGGGGGTTTCCTTTCACGATTCACTGTGCCTATGATGCCCTTTTCCAATGCTCCAGAGCAGGGACTATGATCTCAATAGATGACTTGAACCCCTGTCCAACACCTGCACTTTTAATGAGTTGGCTTTTTTTTTTTTTTTTTTTTTTTAGTTAGTGTATTTAGGAAGCTCAACATGTACCAAGGGAGCCATCTGAAAGAGGACTGGGGGTTATTCCAATACAACTTCTTTATCTTTTTAGTAGCATCCATAAATCTGGAAAGAAGGCTTCTGAGATAAGAGGGATTTACGTGGGATCCTTTCAAAGCAACGTGCTGTTTCTTTGCTAACACAGAGGAGAGACTTGAAAACATTCAGTAGCTTCTCATAACCCTGAGCTGCTAAGCATACAGAACTGGCAAGTTGCTGTCACTTTTGTTGTCACAGCAAATATATTCCCAATATTTGGGAAATTTTACTTGTTTTTGTTTGTTTTACTTTTTGTTTTATATTTCAGATGTTTCACTGCTCTTTGCAAAAAGTGGTCTTTAAAATAGAGTCAGGTAGTGAAGGAAGATTATAATATTTATCCTTCCCCCAAGACAGAGTAATTGTGCGTTATGCAAGGCAGTGAGTGGTCATTTTTAATATTTCAATGACATCTCAGTCAAAGATTAAAAGTTCAGTGGAGATCCCAAGGAAAAGGATGGCAAGCCCCCTTATACTTTCAAATGCTGTAAAACACATAGATCTCCCATTAAAACATTTGCAATTACTTGCAATACTAGAAAACCTGCTGGGGATTTAGCTCAGTTTTTCCAGCGGCTGTTTTGTAAGCGCAAGGACCCAAATTCGACCCCCAGTACCAAAAAAAAAAAAAAAAAAAAAAAAAACTAGAAAACCTGCAGAAGGAGACCCGCTCTAAAACACACACACACACTAAACCTTTGCTTTAACACATCATGAAGTTAATTTCAAAGGGTAAGATTAAATTTTGTTTTTAAAAACTTAGAATGTAACTTAGGACCCAGGACATTGACTAAGCAATTAAACTGATGGGGAAACACAGTAGCAGTTATTAGTGGAGGAAAATAATGGCAACTACCATGATAATCATTACCTTGAAGTATCCTCAGAACTTCACAGAGATGATCTGATCACTCCCTTACACCTCCTTCATGGGGCAGGTGTTATTATTACCATCTTGAAAACAAATGTAGCGTCTACTCTCAATTTCTAGATGTCATTTCTTCTGAGAAGCCTCATTATTTGTTTTCTCATTCATCTTCAGAATATGACTGTCACCCCAAATTAAGTAATTTTGCAGTCAGAGGCAGAATAGTCTTTTTCTATGAATGATTGATTATAATTCAGTGTTTGTGAAACATTTTTATCAGATGCCCAGAGAAATTATAAAATGTTCACAAATACAAATTTAAAAGGATCAGTCAAAAAATAAATATAATTAGAAACTAGTGCTTCTTTTCAGCTTTCCTGGGTGTGTGCACCCTCTTTTGGAGTGGAGAAAAGGGAGAAGCAACAAAGAAAAAATCAACATGGTTCTTTTTCTGCCCCTCTTCAAATAAGTCCCCAAAACTGCAGCTCTCATAGAAGTTATACCTGTAGCTAAAGTATAGGGTTAAAAAAAAATGGGAAGAAAAGATACAGAAGGAAAAACAAAAGGAAATCTATAAGGAAACAAGAGACAAGGAGGTAATAGAAACACTGAATAGATACTGTACTTCTGTGCTTTTAATTTTTAATTCTGTCTTCACTCGGTGCTCAGTGATTGTACATATTCATAGGGTACAGAGCAATGTTTTGACACGTATGTCTGAATTTAAATGTCATGACATAGGAGGCATCCTAAGGGTTGCGATGTTAATTTGTCAGGGCTTCCACAGTAAAAGGCCACACCCTGGGTGGCTTAAATAAGATAAACTTATTTCCTCACAGTTCTGTAGATCCAAGATCAAGGTGTTGGATGATTTGGTTTCCCCTGATGCCTCTCTCCTTGGCTTGCAAATGTCTGTGCTTTTGCTGCATTCTCACCTGGTCATTCATCCATGCACACACATTCCTGGTGCCTGTGTGTCCCAATTTCCCCTTCTGATAAAGACACCAATAATCATATTGGATTAGGACTCATTCCAAAGGCCTCATTTTAGTTTAATTGCCTCTGTCCTCCACCTGAGATCACTGTGAGAGGAAAGTGCCATTTAGATAAAGCAGCAGTTCTCAAACACGAGCATGCATCAGAATCATGTAGAGGGGCTATTCAAGCCCAGGTATCTTGTGACATATGCTCCCCCAAGTTTCTGATTCAGTGAAGCTGAGAATTAACATTTCTAGCAGGTTCCTGCTACTGGCACAGGAAGGACACTTTAAGAACCACTAATCCAGACCTTCACCTACCAGGGTCTATGGAAGCTCTGAGGAAGCCTTCCTAGCTCTGGTTGGGATGGTGGGAGGTCGGAGATGTTTTCAGGACAGTGAATTCCAGAATGCAACTGAGGAGCAATAAGGATAGAGGTATTAAAAGATAATAAGCTCATTGAACTCTAAACGACAAGAATGGGAAAATGAGCACATTGTTTGGAAAAATGCAAATTATTTAGCTAGGACAAAGTTTGAGTTTGAAATAGTTATGGGGATGAAGTTGGAGTAATAAACAAGCTCCATAAATGTGATTAAAGGCATTGTTTATGTAACCATTGTTTTCCAAAGTTGGACCTCAAGCTGGAAAAAAGAATTATGGCAGAACTCTGACCACAGTTAGTTGTCTTCTAAGGAGGCTTCTTTCTTAGCTTTCTAATTTTGGGGAAGAAATCCTCTCTACTCTGAAGTGCCAGATCTCATTGGCGGTGATACGATGACAAAGATTATTGCTCTCCTGTCAGCAGACCTGCGTCTGCTTTGGCATTTGAGCGCCTTAATTAACGGTTCACTATGATTATCTCTTGGAAAACCCTGAGCTTCGCCCGCACCTGATGGCCTCTTAGCTCTCTGAAGGATATTGGAGGGAGGAAGACTGTAGCAGCATGGCTGTAATGAGATGTGTTTCATTCCTGTCTCTCCAGGGGAAGATGACGACGATGATGAATGTGGGGAGGAGAAGTTGCCCTCCTGTTTTGACTACGTGATGCACTTTCTGACTGTCTTCTGGAAGGTCCTGTTTGCCTTCGTCCCCCCTACAGAATACTGGAATGGCTGGGCGTGTTTCATCGTCTCCATTCTCATGATTGGCCTACTGACAGCTTTCATTGGAGACCTGGCTTCCCACTTTGGCTGCACCATTGGCCTAAAAGACTCCGTGACTGCTGTTGTGTTCGTCGCACTGGGAACTTCAGTGCCAGGTACAGGATGCATTCGTGTAGAAATCCTCCAGAAGGGAGGTTCATTTCCTCTTGACCCTTTCTTTCCTTCAACATTAAATGCTGCTGTAATAAACCAGGCTTGTGAAGGCCGAGAGCCTAGAGCAGTAGTGGCGATCTGTGGAATGCATGCCGCAGCAGGATGCTTTTCTACCACTGAAAGCTCTAAAGGGTTTGCGACCACTGGCTTAGAGGTATAAATAACAATGCTGAACGGCACACAGTTATAAAACTGGTCAGCCTCGTTATGTTGACAGGAACACATTCTCACAGTCTCCGTGGCCTACCTACATGGACCTGCATGGAAAGAGCAAAACAGTCTGAGGGACAGATTTCCCAATGAGTTTTCCTTAGGGTAGCACGTTCAAAACATAAAACAAAACACAGAATCATTTCAAGAAGGAAATGTGTCTTTTATACATTTAGTGAGGTTTGGCTAATATCCACAAAACCCTACATTCATTCAGGTAACTGATAAAAATATACTCACCGGATACCTGATAAAATATCATCTTTATCCACATATTAAGGAGAGCAACTAGGAAGTAGACATTGATCGGAGCAGGAAAAAATAGGGACAAAAGTGAGCAGATCAAGTGTACATTTCGTAGACACCTCTTTGTGTACTCCTTATAATCTTAATGTTTCTTCTACCCCACAACTGGAGTTCATTATGTTTACTAAAAATCCTGAGTGAAACATCACCCCAAAATATTAATAGCAGTGATTTTCTATTTTTGGTTGGCATCAGAATTCTTGATAAATACAAATTGTTTTTCTCGCTTCTTGAAAAAAAACAAATGTTTGAGTCTCATCACCAACCCACGGGAGAAAGCCATCAGTGGTTCTGGTAAAATCACAGCTTATTATAGCTGAAATTCTATACCTGCTCCCAGTACCAGCTGGCATCCTGACAGACACACAGCCTTAAATTTGGGCAACAAGACTCACATTCTCCATCAAGCCCTCTCTAAGCCAAGTTCTTAGGGGGAAAAAAGGCAGGACTGGAAGCAAATATAGCGCTGATGATGGTGCCCACCACTGTCCACTTCCCACGTTTACCAGTCTCGATCTAGAGCAACGATGTGGGATCTTCTAGAGCTCTCAGTGGTAACAAATGGCCCACTGTGGCACAGGTAAGGTAGGTTTGCCAACACTGCTCTAGGTGCTATGATTTCTGCTGAAACTTGTTGTGGTTATCAATTCTGGATTTAGGGTTGAATCTGAAAGCAAAGTTTATATCAGCTCAGCTCAGACGTCACTCAGTGATGCTGATACACTCTGAGAAATGTAGCGTGAGGTGATTTCATCAGTGTGCACAAGAGTGAGCGTGTGTCCACGAAGCACGATGTCTCTAAGCTACCTAATTCTAGGGAGCCACCATCACATATGTGGCCTGTCATTGCCCTAAATGTTGCTATAGGCTGCAGGCATATGTTTCTTTTCACTGTTGTTCATGAGTTGTTCTTCATGCAGATATTTATTATCTCAGTGACTGTGAACACAGTTAACCTCTCTGAGCTTCAGTCTTTATTTTTCAAAGAGGGATAACCATATTTAACATTCAGAATTGCGGTAAGGTTGGACAAAATATTGGAATGTAAAGTTTATCCATCTAGTGAAGCATCTGGGACATAGAAAGGTTTGAATAAAATAGCAGCTCGTATGGTTGGTGATTATTTTGAATAATGTAAGGTGATCTGACAAAAGTAAATTAATTACAGTAGTTACCTCAAGTAACCCTGAAGCATCCAGTTTTATGCTGATCAAGTATCCACTTACTTGACACCAAGGGAGTCCTAATTAACATGGTTTGGGTGTCCAACTCAGTTAAGAGATGGTGTAGGGAACTTAGAGAGTTCTCTTACCACTGCCTAGTGAGCAGGATTCCTCCATCTTCCAGATGACTGTTGCTTCCTAGAGGACAGAAGACTCTCTCTAGGCTGTCTGTGTTCCCACAGTTCCACATTTGATCACTACTTTGATTTTCCCCAGAAGTTACAGAAATTAACCAAACAGGAGAAATGTTTGACATATTTCTGTCTTATGTTGTTTTTCTTAGCAACTAAAGACCATCATTGTCCATTACTTCTATGTGAAGTTATTGCAAGAAAATATGGGGATCTACTTCCCTTTGTAAGAAGGCAGCAGTTCATTGTGCCAAATACATCTCTTACTTTCACAAGGATAAAAACAATGCTCTCTAAATTTTCAGTAAATCTTTGTTTTTTAACACATTTTTAATTAATAGTGCCGCATCTCCAATATACCCAAACCGACTCCTTTTTTAATGCATCAATTTTCCAAATGCCTCTGTATATCTCTTGTGTTAACGAAAGATATTATTGTGTTTCTTTGGAGTCAAAACCATCTCAAAATCCAGGTAGAAACATCAAGAGGTAAGAAAGCCTGTTTGGGGAGGAAAAAACAGAAGCATTAGTTGTAGAAATGGCATACCTACACTACTACAAATGCTTCCCGTTAGGACACAGATTTCTTTGCTCTTTTATGGGGAAAGCTCCTGTAATTTGCGGAGATAATAATTGCGCTGCATTCTCCCAAATCAATATATTCACAAGTGATCTCAGATAATCACATCTGTATGGTCATTACCCCAAAAGTGAAGAAGATTCTAGATGAATATAATACTTCTGATTTTATTTATTTTATTATTCAACACTGCTGGTTCAGAGCCCTGAATTATTCTATGCCTTGACTCGTAAATATTAAAATAAAATGATATTTCTGAATGACAAAGCTGAGTTGATATAAGGAGAAGAATTTAAAACACTAATTTTGTTTACTTGCAGCTTGTCATTATTGAGCATTGGCCCTAGAGCACAGCTTTTTCTCTAGGCTGATGTCTTAGAACTGTTCGTAGAGTAAAGATCATCTGCCTAGTGTCTGATGAACTGTGAGGTTTCTGGGTGAAACTCTTAGATTCTTACACTATGTTGGACAGATAGGCCTTGAAAACTTTTCTCCCGCTCATGTTCTCTGCTCAACACAAGATTATCTGGTTAAAAGTATCTTGTTATATTCTTCAAAATCTTTGGGGAAAATCTGATGGTTTGCAGGCAGGACAGATCTCTCTAGCCTGCCAGATGGCCATTATACTCTCCAGACAGGGAGGCACTCACTGATGTAAGCCAGAGCTTGATCTCCAGTCCCCTTCTTAACCTGAAATCACCCTCTGCACTTAATCTCCATGTCAGAAATGCCATCTATATGTCATCTGCATGACATGAAATGTCATCTATATGATTGCCAAGTGCATATTTTCGCTCTCTGCTTTCTCCCTGAGCTAGATTCATAGACCAACGGCCTTCCCGTATCCGTGATGAATATGTAATTTGCAGCTCTATATTGCCACGTCCAAAACAGAACTGTTAATTCCTACTGCCCAATGATCTTATCCTTCAACCAAATCTGTTCTTTCCTGATCCTGCCTTTCTCAGGAAAATGAAGTCGTCATCTACCCAGGGGTCTTTGGTCCATTTTTTCTTCTCCCCACAGTCAATTCATCTTTAAGTCTTGCAAACCTTCCACTAAACCATAGTTGATGAGGCCGGTTAAACTCTCTCCCTTTACCACCATGGTAGTTACACAGCTGTTCTCTCTTACCCAGACCCAGCAGTGATCTCTGGTCTGTCTCCTTGCTTCTGGTGGAGATCATTTCAAGATGTAAATCAGACCATCTTATTGCTTTCAGTCTTCCAGGGGCCTCTAGGATAAATTCCAGAAACATTACTCACTACAACCTATGTGATTTGGCCCCTCTCTGACATTCCATTCTGGCCTCTTCCTTGCCTGTTGTTCTTTGTGCTCACCAGTGACTTTCTGCCCTTCCCTCTGTTTCATTCTTTTGCCAGAGTTGCACTAGCTGTCTAAAGTGTTATCCCCCTTCCTTTTTACAATACTAGCTCCTTGTCTTCAACTGTATGTCTTCTTAAATGATACCTTCCAAGAGGCCTTTCCTAATCACTAAATGTGAAGTGTCAGCCAGTTCGTCCATATTACCTTAATTTATTTTTCGTAGAGTACTATTATTTGCTGGATTTTCTGGTTTGTTTGTTTGTTTGTTTGTTTGCTTTGTACAGGGGATCAAACTCAGGACTTTGCAATGCAAGTACAGTGCTGCTGAGCCAAATCACTGGCCTGGTTTATTTAGTTTTGATTGTTGTTATTCTCTTACTCTTCCACCTGAAATGCAAGCTTCATCTGAGCAGACATGATTTCTCTCTCTCTGTCACTCTCATGCTCTCCATCTCTGGATCTCTCTCATTCTCTCTGTGTAATGTGTCCCTACCTCCTAGAATCTTGCCTAACTAATGCACAAGTTCTATAGGAGTGCTTGAGTGTGTGTGTGTGTGTGTGTGTGTGTGTGTGTGTGTGTTGTGTTCATAAGATAATATAAAAACCAATCATCTGTAGATTAGTATAGGTTTATTCACTAAGATTGCTTTCTTCCTAAATGCCTTCTGAGACAGCTAAGCATTAAAGTCCTAATTACTAAGGGTGGTACATATAGTGTAGTTTATTCTTGAGGAATAGAACATATCTGAGATGTCTATCACTTTAAATGGCAAACAAAAACTTAAGGCCACTGAGAAACTCAAAATAGAAACAATTTTCCCTGTTTCATAATTTTGGGTATGGCGAGTATTGTCATGAGCAATCAGATTTTTTGCCTCTCTGTCATGCTTTTCTCCTCTATGATCACTGCTTCTAAGCCCTAGAACTCAAGCCACTACTTTTAAAACTCTACACCTGGATTTTGCTGTAGCACACAAGTCCATAATTATGTTGTATGTCATGTTGTTTCTATGGGAAAACAGGAAAAAAAGTCAAAGGGGAAAAGTCTAAGAAGGAACATTGGAAATCCAGCCTTCTAGAAATGAGGAAACACCTGTAAATGCCCATTATTTTAGCTTACAATTACTTAGGTTTAACTTAGGTATATTGGGCCAAGACATTCCAGT